TGCCAGATGCACGTCTTAACTTCATTTTGTATAACCGTTGTGGAGAATGATCCGTGCAAGGTAACGCAGTTAAAGACAGTGAATAAGTGCGGGTTCACGCCCTGTCTGATAGCATGGCTGTGTTCACTGTAGACTGGCCTCGTAATACATACAGGTATATCAGATACACAGGGCTACTGAGAATCTGGATACCTAGAACATGATGATGTAGTGAATATGTCGCGTCATACTTCACAAGCCCGTTATAATTACTCCATTGTTGTCATTTAACTGTTACAAAGGAGCTTACTGTTTTTTAATTTGTTCTAGTTAAGTAAGAGTCAACATTTTTCTTGTTATACATATCTTTTAGTCACTCTACTTTGAAATCTCGAAATTCGGATAACAACTCTGTTATGAATGTTTCATTTTGAAGCAGCAGTCAGTGGAGCTTTGGCAGTCATTACAGACACTTTGGTTGTGGACAGATGTACACGCATAGATTTCTGCTCCCCTCCTCCCTTTCCCTTCTTCCAACACACACGCCCGAATATAGAAAGTGCACGTACACACACACACACACACGCACGTACACACACACGCGCGCGCACGTCCGCACACGCACAACGCAGAGACTGGGACGCCATGTTATATGTCCCATTTTACGTATCATGAACACTGTGCATTGCTATTTGGCGGAATGGGAAGGTATCCGTGAAATGTAACACTCGTAATCAGATTGCTGTTTCTAAATGGTAAGCGCCAGTTGACATTGTGACTGTATTTAAAACTGTTCGTCATGGTGACCATAATGACACACACTTGTCTATAAAGCTATCTGCCCGTGAAGATCCGGATTATAATTGATCTTCATTAACACATGCTCGTCCTAAAAGGCGACTAACGGGATCGGGTGGTGAGGCTCGCTGACTGGGTTGACCCATGCCATCGGTTCCCAACTTCGTAGATCGATGCTCATGCTGCTGATCACTGGATTGTCTGGTACTGACTGAATTATGGCTGGAATATTGCAATATTGCTGAGTGCGGCGTAAAACTTAACTCACTCTCTGTGTGAACCTGCTGAAGCTCGATAAGGGAGCGAAGCCAAACCTCCGTTAAAGCGCAGCATTGTAATAAGCTTTAGATAGTCGCCGTTCCACTCGTGTGTTCTTTTGTTTGCAAATAATAATTATGCTGTCGACACAGACGATTGCTCAGTACACTGCTTGTCTAGTTTAAAATGTATCGAAAATACGTTTTCAGTGTTAGGTGCGTTTATACAATATTTATAAGAAATAAATTAAACTAAAACAGAGAACTGACTTGTGGACATATTAATGGCGGTGACAGATTGAGCATAGCGTGAGATACTTTAGTTGAAGAAAGACAAGTTGTTTGAATTACATTCTTTACAGTTTAAACCTACTATACAAATGTTGGCATAACATAGTGCTTACTGTTGACACAGACACGTCCATAATGTGTGCATCAGAGACCATATTTATGGTGCTAGTGCATTATGTAAGTGCATCCCATGCATTGTGTTTAGGGGTGGTGATAAACAGAAATGGTGGTGCGTTCATACGATGTCTGTCTTTGAAACGTTTGTTAACGCTTATACTTCCTATCCAAAGTGAAAGTTCAGGTTCCCGTGTATATTTAACAGTATATTACACTACCTCAAAAGCGGAACTGTTAACAAATGTAGTTTAGCGAACTTAACCGAGCATTTCCGATTGTAATACAAGGGAGATAACACTAGGTGGAGGTATATCATTAGACTGGTTTGCCTGTCGTAGAGCACGTGCACCTTACCGCTGCTGGGACTTTGGGTCACACAACACCAAATGTTTTCCCATAGACTTCTATAGTAAAGTTGTATATTTCTTTAAATCATCCAGGCTGTCAACAGCCATTCCATGTACATATGTGTACAGTCTGGACTTTAAACTACAGTACAAAAGCCACAAATCCCGGCTAAGTTATCGTGCTAATTTTCCCAGCACAGGAAGCTGAACACATCAACCCCATTTCTCCACCAAATATCGCCTGCATGAAATGTCTGTACACTGAAATAAGCATAAGTCGTGGTGATAAAATGACAGCACTAAATACTTAATATTATTATAGGTTTTAATTGCTGGATGGATGTGCTTTTCAAAAACCATAAAATCTTACACTATTTCATCCAACCACAGCTCTCACATGTCTCTATCTCTTCAAATGTTTACATACGGTACTCGCTCAGGCGCATGTCCTTCCTTCATTTAGTTAATAGTGGAACCTTTAGGACAGGGTGCAGGTCTAGCTATGTCGTCTGCTGTCAACATATCCGTGAAGTCTGTTCGTGACTATATCCATTGAAACTGTTAGGGGAACGATACTGAAAACAACATTATTTTCACGGATCACCCTGTATACATGTGACCGTTACCGCATGTCTGTTTGCACGGGTTAAACCTGAACTTCAGTCACTGTCTTCCACAGTACGTGTACGTTACACACATGCTTCATTCATTCTTAAAGAGAGACACTAAACTCAAGATGAAGAAAACATTGTAAGTCTTTAAAGCTTCATTAGGCTAACCCCTTCATAGTATATCTCATGTTTACACCTTGTCAAATGATGATCCGTGAAGCATGAGGCCATGTTTACAATTTACGGAACTGAAAGTCTCTGAATGGCTTTGACATTACTTTACATTACATGATAACATATCTGTGACAAATACAAAAGTAGTCCCCTTTGTAGTTTTGAGTTTCTTAAGTGTGTTTGGGGATGTTCAATACGTTTAACTACAGCGTTCAGACAAAGTCTCTGCAACCCCAGAATCCGGAAAGTGTATCAATATTAGGAAAAAGGTCCACGGAACAGTCCACGGATCAGGTATAAATAGCATTACAATGTTAACGTGTTTCTAGTTTCGTATGCAAGTCATTATAACAATAGATCCGCAGATTCAAACAATCCGTTCTACCCTACATAACGTAGAGATATGGCAGAGTTTGCCAGTTTATTTATCGTTGTGGGAGAGAGCGCACTCCGAGTCGCTGTGCTCATGGCAGGTCGAAGATGGAACAAGTTGGCAACCTTCAGAGGAATATGTCACAGCATGAAGAAGAAACTGTGCTGCTGTGCCTGGCCAGGATATCAGGTAGGTGTCTCCAACTGCCGCTCATATATACTTAATCTACCATGGTCCTACTTGCTTCCTTCCTTCCTTCCTTTCTCCCTACCCCCTTCTCTCCTTAAGTCCTCTATCTCATTAGCATCCTCAAATTGAGTTGATTCATACATAATATTCATAGTAAAGAGTTGACCTATGATGGCATGTGAAGTTACCAATCAAATTCCATTCACACTTGGAATTCAGATTCTCAGGAAAGAAATCTGTGTCATTGACGACTTCATAATTTTAAGACTCACGCATACTATCACAATGTGGGCGGTAGGGTAGCCTAGAATAGATTTCACATAGAAGGTGAACGTTAGAATATATTCCGCATAGAAGATGAATAAGAATATGATATATTTGGTGTAAATTACACAATTCTTTGTACTCGTCGTGTCATATGTTGAAGTTACTGTTTCCGCTGTCCTCAGTTGGTGCCACCAGACGAGGACTGGGAGGACGAGGACCGCCTGACAGAAGATGAAAGAAGGTCGTGTGTGTCAGAGAGGACCCTGTTCCTGGTGTCTCAACACGTGGGCGGGGGTTTCCAGATGCTGGGTCTGAGACTGGGGCTTCCGTACGTCAGTGTGGAGAGGTGCACGCTGTCACAGTCATCGCCTCAGATGCAGATATTCGCCATGCTGAACACGTGGAGACAGCGGAAGGGAAGACGGGCAACTGTAGAAGTCCTTGTTCAAGCCCTGTCTGACAGCATGTCGGTCTGCACGGTGGACATGCCTCATGTCTACAGGGTGATCCGTGAAATGTAACATTGTGTGTCACCATATACATCCACGCACAGCAAGCTGCTCTCTGGGACTCATGACATACTTAAATTTATTTCAAGTTCACTGCAGTTTTGCGAGATGTTGTTGAGAAGGATAACTCACCCACCACTATTTTTATTGTAATATTTCAGTAATGTCGATGTGTCCCTCCCATGATGTCTTGGACTCCGTGTAAACGTGGGATATTTTATGAAGGTGTTGACCTAATAAAGCTCTAAAGTCTTGTTCTCTTGTGTGTCTCTCTTTAAGAGTAAATGAAGCGTGTGGTTGTAACGTGCTGTTGAAGACCGTGAATTAAGTTCTGGTTTAACCTGTACAAACAGACATGCGGTCACAAGCAGCATGTCCGTGAAATGTAAATATGTTTCCTAATAAACGGGGCGGTGGGGTGGTGGGGTGGTGGGGGTGGGGGTAGCGTAGTGGTTAAAGCGTTCGTTCGTCACGCCGAAGACCCGGGTTCGATTCCCCACATTGGTAGAATATGTGAAGCCCATTTGTGGTGTCCCCCGCCTTGATATAGCTGGAATATTGCTAAAAGCGGCGTGAAACTAAACTCACTCACTTATAAAACCTAACACTACGTCCAGATGCACCTTATCTTCATGTTTGTATAACCGTTGTGGAGAGAGGTATCCGTGCCATGTAGCGCAGTTGAAGACAGTGAATAAGTGCGTGTTCAAGCCAATTAGCATGGGATTCTGGATAACTGGAACATGATCACAGAAACCCAACCCCCTACCCTCGAACATAGAGAGCGCACGCACGCAAGCACGCACAGCGCAGACACTGGGACGCCATGTTGTATGGCCTATTTACGTATCATGAACACTGTGCATTGCTATTTGGCGGAATGGGAGGCTATCCGTGAAAAGTAGCACACGTAACCAGGAAGCTGTTTAAATCACACCAGTTTTCATTGTGACTGTGTATTAGAAACTGTTCGTCATGGTGAACATTATGACACACTTGTCTGTCAACTGATCTGCCCGTGAAGGTCCGGGTTAGAATTGTTCTGTAGTAACCCATACTTGTCGTAAGAGGCGGCTAACAGGATCGGGTGAACAGGCTCACTGACTTGGTTGACACGTCATCGTATCCCAAATGAGTAGATCGATGCTCATGCTGTTGATTAGCGTTAAATCTCACCTCTGACTACATCGATAATTTACATATTATAGTAAACAGCGTTAATCTCATCACTGCCTAAATCGATCCATTCGCGGTTTAGAAAAGAAAACTGAAATTACAATTTGCGGATTACAAAGCACGGACCCATTCAGTGTCAACGATACGGCGGGTGTATTTTAAATGCGAATTTACTGGCGTCATATCAGATGAATAAGCAGTCTACGAAAATGTATTGGCTGTTCCAGTCACGTGATCATTTCAGTGTCAGTATAGCTAACGCCTTGAGCGCGCATCGAGCACACAAAGTGGAAGGTAACGCACCTGTTCAAATGAGTCCCGGAGTCTGATCATGAAGGTAGGTGACTTCAGGCATCGTTCCACATTGACGTTAGCGACGCGACTATCAACCTCTATGTAAAAGTTTATCGGCTTAAGGTCAATTATTGTCTTAGGACGATAGCACTGTTGATTACTTCCTTGACAGTATTTGGAAATTGAACCATGTCTGTGTGAGATAAGTACGCATGGTACTACTCTGTTAACTCTGGTTATAAATGTGTTGGTGTCTAGTTAAAAGAGTTTCTAATCAATTCTTTTCTTCGCTGCACCTCTAAGGCATGACGGGGTTCTATTTATAGATGGGAATTTCCACGCGCTTGATCAATGGGTATTTTTAACACATGGGATTTCCGGGACATGTTTGTGTTGCTACAATGAGAAGACCAGCGTTAAACATTTAAATTGGTAAGAACCTCAGCGCTGGCGTGGCATGAACCTTAAATATATACATAATAATTCCTTTAGCATGAGAGAAAGATTTGGTTGGGTTGTTGTTTTACGCCGCACTCAGCAATATTCCAGCTATATGGCGGCGGGCTGTAAAGAATCGAGTCTGAACAGACAGTACAGTGATCAACAGCATGAGCATCGATCTACGCAATTGGGATACGATGACATGTGTCAACCAAGTCAGCAAGCCTGACCACCCGATCCCGTTAGTCGCCTCTTACGACAAGCATGGGTTACTGAAGACCCATTCTAACCCGGATCGTCACGGGCATTAGAGAAAGAGCTGGGCAGAAGGGAAGCTATGTACTTTGGGGGAAATTAAGCTACAGGCAAGTCAGTGGAATGTTAGATCCCGTGTGTAACTCAATAGGGTAACCAAAGGTTCTGGTAATAAAACTACGATCACTTTTATGTATACCCAGACAGTATATTGTTTTGTTCATAATATCATCCACCGGTTTGCCTACTCCAGACTGGTTAAAATAAGTGAAGTATTCCTGTATGTGGCGTTGAAATCAAACAAATCAAAGTTATATGAGAAATCCGAGAAATGTAATAAATCCTACTAGATTTGACCATGCAGGTTTACATACTGTACTATTGTACAGTATTAGTAACCATGGTAACCCTCATCTAGCCTTCCTGGAAACAACTTTGTAACTATGGTCCTTGCCACCGTAACAGAATCGCAAAACGATGAAATTATTAACTGACGAAGACAGCTGCATGTGACCCAATACTTCAACAGTGAAAACAAGTGATTCCGGCAATGAATATTACCTACAGCAGCCATTAAACGTGTGCAAAGTGTGCTTTACAGTAGAATTATCACTTTTAAAATCATTATTGAGTTTGACTCAGGTTGTTACATTGCGAGTATGGATTGACAGTCTGGTGACTTTGAGTGCAGTAAGAAGTCGTGCGTTCATAAGTAGGTCAATGGCGGTTTTAATACTATGCCTTCTCGGATTTCTTTAACTTTCGGTTCACGTTGGTAATTCGCATACCTTGTACCCATATAGGGAATCGAACCCAGGTCTTCAGCGTGACGAACGAACGCCTTAACCACTAGGCTACCCAACCGCCCCTAAACGGTTGTATTACAAGGGAGACATCAACGGTCCGCTCGTCGCTGCACTACAGCTGCTGGTGGACTGGTGTAGTTCCGAATCCCTCGTGTCAAAAGGCAGTCTGACAACTTCATGCCCCAACACACAATATTGTAATACATTCCACACACCTCGCTGACATATAACTGGTATACATTTCATAGCCCCAACAAGGAAATCCGAACTTGTGAATGATACTATAAGATTACTATTACCGAAGACTAATAGGTCTGTGCATTTACAGCTACCTCAAAACTAAACTGATATCTTTAGCAAACTTGACCGAGCACTTCCGATTGTCATGCAAGGGAGATAACAATAGATGGAGGCATATTATAAGACTGGTCTGTCTGCCGTAGAGCGCCTGCGCCTTACTGCTGCTGGGACTTTAAGGACAGGGTACCAGTTAAGCTATGTCGTCTGCGTGCTGTCACTCTATCCGTGAAATTTTTCGGGAACGATACTGTTGATACCATTTTCTATGAAAGGGGCGAACATTTTTTCCGGTAAGATAAATATTACGTCAGCCAGTATCTTGAGGATATAACTGAATAGACGCCAGGGCGGGTATATATTCATAGACGTCTTATTTATCAGCCATAGACTTAAAGAAAATATACCATGGATGATTCACAACATGATTCAGGCTGCACACGATCTTGTTATTTGTTAGCAGTGTGGACAGGCGAGTATTAATTTATATATCAGTGCATTAAAAGCTGTGTCAGATTTAAGATCGTTGTTGTTGTCGTTTAGAGCCTCGGTTTATTTGAAGGCGTAGGGTATCGAAAATGGAGCTGTTTATCTGGATAAATGAGACCTGTGTGTTCAATACTTCGAATTCACCAACGCTTTCCTATCAATACTGCTGTCTGTAACCCTAAAGGGTAAACTCCATAAGAAGATGAATCCATCACGAACCATCATGATGACATCATCGTATATATTTCATTCTAGTTTCATTTAAATAAAATGTCCTTTCCGATGTGTCTCCTGCTGGAAAAAGGGAGAGATTAATTTCTACCAAATATTTATTTGTGTAGAGGACAACACTGGAAACTGATTGTAAAGAAATTCGCACTCGGCAAGGTGTCAGTGTATTTAGAATATGTTGCATCACCTAGGTCTGATAAACATAGTATAAGGTCGCAACTGATATGGGAAACATATCAGTGAGTGAGTTTAGTTTTGCCCCGCAATATTCCAGCAATATGACAAACAGTCTGTAAATAATGGAATCTGCACCAGACAATCCAGTGATCAACAGCATGAGCATCGATCTGCACAACTGGGATACGATGAAATGTGTCAACCAAGTCAGCGAGCCTGGCCATCCGATTCCGTCAGTCGCCTCCTACGCTAAGCATGGGTTGCTGAAAATCGATTCTAATCCGGCTCTTCACATGTGATACGCCAGGAAACAAGTGTTAAGTACCATGTACACAGAGTCAAACTGTCTTTCTCTGGCAAACCAATTTAAGTCGGATTCATATAGCGATGATAATCTGCTGGCTGGAATGATATATAAAGAACCAATTCAATTCCATCAATTTTGGAGACAAAACCAAATACCGAAAATATTGAATTCTCTGTAATACTCAAAACATGTATATCACTATTCTGTGTTATATTATATGAACAATATTCAGACAAGGAATGACAAATGAATATTCACAAGTTCACGGTTTGGATAATGATCTCGTTTGAAGGGGGTCTGTGAATTACGATGGAAGGGATTTGGTTTGTTGTTTTAGTTAATATATCTAAAACATACATAACTACATATATATATATATATATAACATCGATTGGAAAGCGTGCAGGGTCAATAGCAAATGGTATCTTTCAATTCATGAAGTATTCTTCACAGTTTTCGCTCTTATGCTTAATACTTTTTTTTAAAAAAGAAATTGAATTATTACATAGGTTTTGATTGATATGGCTGTACATAAATATCTGGTATTTCATAATCGGTTGATTTAATTGGCAATCCAGATTGTTAATGGCTGTATCTTAAAGTATTAAAGTATAAAGTTAAAGTATTGTAAAATTATTGTCCTCCTGAGAGGTTAAGTTCCAAAGCTATAAAGGTCAATTTCGCTTTACCAAACATTTAAACGTAGTATATTCGTTGTTTTAACTAACAGCTAAAACTCGGTACAATCGCCTCTGGCTGAAGGGATGGGGTAAGTCCAGCTGGGGTCTATGCAGGTAGCAAAACCACTGTAGGTCCCCATAGTCCCTAGTATGGTGATCTACCTTGAGTTGCTGGTGATCTATATATATAGTACTGTAGGTCCCAATAGTCCCTAGTATGGTGATCTACCTTGAGTTGCTGGAGATCTATATATATAGTACTGTAAGTCCCCATGGTCCCTAGTATGGTGATCTACCTTGAGTTGCTGGTGATCTATATATATAGTACTGTAGGTCCCCATAGTCCCTAGTATGGTGATCTACCTTGAGTTGCTGGTGATCTATATATATAGTACTGTAGGTCCCCATAGTCCCTAGTATGGTGATCTACCTTGAGTTGCTGGAGATCTATATATATAGTACTATAGGTCCCCATAGTCCCTAGTATGGTGATCTACCTTGAGTTGCTGGTGATCTATATATATAGTACTGTAGGTCCCCATAGTCCCTAGTATGGTGATCTACCTTGAGTTGCTGGAGATCTATATATATAGTACTGTAGGTCCCCATAGTCCCTAGTATGGTGATCTACCTTGAGTTGCTGGTGATCTATATATATAGTTCTGTAGGTCCCCATAGTGCCTAGTATGGTGATCTACCTTGAGTTGCTGGTGATCTATATATATAGTTCTGTAGGTCCCCATAGTCCCTAGTATGGTGATCTACCTTGAGTTGCTGGCGATCTATATATATAGTACTGTAGGTCCCCATAGTGCCTAGTATGGTGATCTACCTTGAGTTGCTGGTGATCTATATATATAGTACTGTAGGTCCCAATAGTCCCTAGTATGGTGATCTACCTTCAGTTGCTGGTGATCTATATATATAGTACTGTAGGTCCCCATAGTCCCTAGTATGGTGATCTACCTTGAGTTGCTGGTGATCTATATATATAGTACTGTAGGTCCCAATAGTCCCTAGTATGGTGATCTACCTTGAGTTGCTGGTGATCTATATATATAGTACTGTAGGTCCCAATAGTCCCTAGTATGGTGATCTACCTTGAGTTGCTGGTGATCTATATATATAGTACTGTAGGTCCCCATAGTCCCTAGTATGGTGATCTACCTTGAGTTGCTGGTGATCTATATATATAGTACTGTAGGTCCCAATAGTCCCTAGTATGGTGATCTACCTTCAGTTGTTGGTGATCTATATATATAGTACTGTAGGTCCCAATAGTCCCTAGTATGGTGATCTACCTTCAGTTGTTGGTGATCCATATATATAGTACTGTACGTCCCCATAGTCCCTAGTATGGTGATCTACCTTCAGTTGTTGGTGATCTATATATATAGTACTGTAGGTCCCCATAGTCCCTAGTATGGTGATCTACCTTCAGTTGTTGGTGATCTATATATATAGTACTGTAGGTCCCCATAGTCCCTAGTATGGTGATCTACCTTGAGTTGCTGGTGATCTATATATATAGTACTGTAGGTCCCAATAGTCCCTAGTATGGTGATCTACCTTGAGTTGCTGGTGATCTATATATATAGTACTGTAGGTCCCCATAGTCCCTAGTATGGTGATCTACCTTCAGTTGTTGGTGATCTATATATATAGTACTGTAGGTCCCAATAGTCCCTAGTATGGTGATCTACCTTGAGTTGCTGGTGATCTATATATATAGTACTGTAGGTCCCCATAGTCCCTAGTATGGTGATCTACCTTCAGTTGCTGGTGATCTATATATATAGTACTGTAGGTCCCCATAGTCCCTAGTATGGTGATCTACCTTGAGTTGCTGGTGATACTCAGCCCGTTTTTAATCTTGTATTGTCCTGATTCATATCAGATTTTAAAGATAGATGCAAGTTTAATTTAATTCTTGATACTGTGATATTCTAGTTGGTTTTACTGTCCTACAGTTTTGTATTTATCATAAATGTATAACTGGTTTTAGTCACGATATGGCTGAAATACTGCTGATGTGACTCTAAACTCTTACTCACTCACTCTCTCATGTGCAGGTAGGACTTGGTGATCTGGTCCAACTGGCTTACTTTAGTGTAGAGACGGATATCAGTCATGAAGTGATCCGCATCAGATCATTTCAAATGATGATCTGTGAAGTATAGGGACATGTTTACAATTTACGGAACTGAAAGTCTCTGAATGGTTTTGACATTACATTACATTACATGATAACATACCTGTGACAAATACAAAAGTAGTCCCCTTTGTCGTTTTGAGTGTCTTAAGAGTGTTTGGGGAAGTTCAACACGTTCAACTACAGCGTTAAGACAAACTCTGTGCAACCCCAGAATCCGGAAAGTGTATCAATATTTGGAACAAGTTTCACGGAACAGTTCACGGATCAGTTATATATAGCATTACAATGTTAGTTTCGTATGCATGTCATTATAACAATAGATCCGCAGATTCACACATTCCGTTTTACCTTACATAACGTAGAGATATATCAGAGTTTGCCAGTTTATCTATCGTTGTGGGAGAGAGCGCACCTCGGGGCGCTGTGCTCATGGCAGGTCGAAGATGGAACAAGTTGGCAACCTTCAGAGGACTATGTCACAGCATGAAGAAGAAACTGTGCTGCTGTGCCTGGCCAGGATATCAGGTAGGTGTCTCCAACTGCCGCTCATATATACTTAATCTACCATGGTCCTACTTGCTTCCTTCCTTCCTTTCTCCCTACCCTCCTCTCTCCTTAAGTCCTCTACCACATTAGCATCCTCAAATTGAGTTGATTCATTCATAATATTCATAGTAAAGAAATGATGAATATGAATATGATATATTTGGCGTAAATAACACATTTCTGTGTACTCGTCGTGTCATTGAAAATGCTGTTTTCCCCTGTCCTCAGTTGGTGCCACCAGACGAGGACTGGGAGGACGAGGACCGCCTGACAGAAGATGAAAGAAGGTCGTGTGTGTCAGAGAGGACCCTGTTCCTGGTGTCTCAACACGTGGGCGGGGGTTTCCAGATGCTGGGTCTGAGACTGGGGCTTCCGTACGTCAGTGTGGAGAGGTGCACGCTGTCACAGTCATCGCCTCAAATGCAGATATTCGTCATGCTGAACACGTGGAGACAGCGGAAGGGAAGACGGGCAACTGTTGAAGTCCTTGTTCAAGCCCTGTCTGACAGCATGTCGGTCTGCACGGTGGACATGCCTCATGTCTACAGGGTGATCCGTGAAATGTAACAATGTGTGTCACCATATAGATCTACGTACAGCAAGCAGCTCTCTGGGACTCATGACATACTTAAATTTATTTCAAGTTCACTGCAGTTTTGCGAGATGTTGTTGAGAAGTATCAGTAATATTTCAGTAATGTCGATGTGTCCCTCCCATGATGTCTTGGACTCCGTGTAAACGTGGTTTATGTTATGAAGGTGTTGACCTAATAAAGTCTTACAATGTTCTGTTTTGTGTCTATTCTTTAAGTGAGAGAGTGAGTATTGTTTTAGGTCGCGTTTAGCAACACTCCAGCAATATCACGGTGGAGGACACCAGAAATGGGCTTCACATATTGTACCGATGTGGGGAATCGAACCCCGCATGACGAGCCAACACTTTAACCAAGAGGCTACCCCATCGCCCTTTCTCTTTAAGAATGAATAAAGCATATGGGTTTAACGCACTGTTGAAGACAGTGAATAAAGTTTAGGTTTAACCCGTACAAACAGACATGCAGTCACATGCCGCATGTGAACAGGTTGGTCCGTGAAATGTAACATTACTAGAGACAGACATATGACTTCCTGAATGTATAATTACATGTATGAACGACAAGTTTCCTTAATGTTGATCGAATTTGTACGTTACTTTTGTGAGAAAGATTACCCAAATCATTACTTTCTTCGATTGTAAACAGTGCTCATCTATCCCTGCTATGATTTAAAACCTTTACACTTTGGTTTTGTGTATCCACTGGATGTTTGTGAATATATTTCCTGATAAAACTTAAGACTACTGCCAGATGCACCTTTTCTTCATTTTTGTGTAACCGTTGTGGAGAGAATGATCCGTGCGAGGTAACGCAGTTAAGATAGTGAATAAGTGCGGGTTCACGCCCTGTCTGATAGCATGGCTGTGTTCACTGTAGACTGGCCTCATGTATACAGGTATATCAGATACACAGGGCTACTGAGAATCTGGATACCTAGAACATGATGATGTACTGAATATGGCGTCATACTTCACGACCGGTTATAATTACTCCATTGTTGTCATTCAACTGTTACAAAAGGAGCTTACAGTTGTTTTACTTTTGTAGTTCAGTAAGAGTAAACTTTCTGGTTATGCATCTTTTTTAGTCACTCTACTTTGAAATTTCGAAATGCAGATAACAACACTGACATGAATGTTTCATTTTGAAGCAGCAGTCGTGGGCTTCTGGTAGACATAGCAGACAAAGTTGTGGACAGACACACCCACAGACTCCTCCCCCCCTCCCTTTCCCCTTTCAACATACACCCCCGAATATAGAAAGTGCACGTACGTACACACACGCACGCACACAAACGCACGCGCGCACGTCCGCACACGCACAACGCAGAGACTGGAACGCCATATTATATGTCCTATTAACGTATCATGAACACTGTGCATTGCTATTTGGCGGAATGGGAGGCTATCCGTGAAATGTAACACACGTAATCAGATTGCTGTTTCTAAATAGCACCAGTTGACATTAATTGTGACTGTGTATTAGAAACTGTTCGTCATGGTGACCATTATGACACACTTGTCTGTAAACTTATCTGCCCGTGAAGATCCGGGTTATAATTGATCTTCATTAACACATGCTCGTCGTAAAAGGCGACTATCGGGATCGGGTGGTGAGGTTCGCTGACTGGGTTGACCCATGTCATCGGTTCCCAATTGCACAGGTCCTTGCTCATGCTGTTGATCACTTGATTGTCTGGTACTGACTGAATTATTTGCAGACGGACGCCATATGGCTGGAATATTGCTGAGTGCAGCGTAAAACTAAACTCACTCACTCTGTGAACCTACTGAAGTTCGATAAGGGAGCGAGGCCAAACATCCGTTAAATAGCAGCATTGTAATAAGCTTTAGAGAGTCGCCCTTACACGTGTGTTCTTTTGTTTGCAAATAATAATTATGCTGTGGACACAGACGATTGCTCAGTACACTGCTTGTCTAGTTTAAAATGTATCGAAAATACATTTTCATTGTTAGGTGCGTTTATACAATATTTATAAGAAATAAATTAAACTAAAAGAGAGAACTGGCTTGTGGACATATTAATGGCGTTGACAGATTGAACATAGCGTGATATACTTTAATTGAACAAGGACAAGTTGTTTGAATTAAATTCTTTACAGTTTAAAACCTACTATACAAATGTTGGCATAACATAATGCTTACTGTTTACACAGACACGCCCATAATGTGTGCATCAGAGACCATATTTATGGGGCTAGTGCGTTGTGTAAGTGCATCCCATGCATTGTGTTTAGGGGTGGTGATAAACAGAAATGGTGGTGCGTTCATACGATGTCTGTCTTTGAAACGTTTGTTAACGCTTATACTTCCTATCCAAAGTGAAAGTTTAGGTTCCCGTGTATATTTCAGAGTATATTATACTACCTCAAAACTAAACTGTTAACAAATGCAGTTTAGCGAACTTAACCCAGCATTTCCGATTGTAATATAAGGGAGATAACACTAGGTGCGGGTATATTTTTAGACTGGTTTGTCTGTCGTAGAGCGCACGCACCTTACCGCTGCTGGGACTTTGGGTCACACAACACCAAATGTTTTCCCATAGACTTCTATTGTAAAGTTGTATATTTCTTTAAATCATCCAGGCTGTCAACAACCATTCCATGTACATATGTGTACAGTCTGGACTTTAAACTACAGTACAAAACCCACAAATCCCGGCTAAGTTATCGTGCTAATTTTCCCAGCACAGGAAGCTGAACACATCAACCCCATTTCTCCACCAAATATCGCCTACATGAAAATGTCTGTACACACAATAAGCATAAGTCGTGGTGATAAAAATGACAGCACTAAATACTTAATATTATTATAGGTTTTAATTGCTGGATGGATGTGCTTTTAAAAAACCATAAAAATCTTACACTATTTCATCCCACCACATCTGTCACATGTCTCTATCTCTTCAGATGTTTACATACTATACTCGCTCAGGGCGCTTGTCCTTCTCATTTAGTGTAGTGGAACCTGTAAGGACAGGGTACAGGTCTAGCTATGTCGTCTGCTGTCAACATATCTGTGAAGTCTGTTGTGACTATATCCGTGAAACTGTTAGGGGACGATACTGTAGACAACATTATTTTCACAGACCACCCTGTATACATGTGACCGTGACCGCATATCTGTTTGCACGGGTTAAACCCGAACTTCAGTCACTGTCTTCCACAGTACGTTACACACACATGCTTCATTCATTCTTAAAGAGAGACACTAAACTCAAGATGAAGAAAACATTGTAAGTCTTTAATGCTTCATTAGGCTAACACCTTCATAGAATATCTCATGTTTACACCTTGTCAAATGATGATCCGTGAAGCATGAGGCCATGCTTACAATTTACGGAACTGAAAGTCTCTGAATGGCTTTGACATTACATTACATTACATGATAACATACCTGTGACAAATAAAAAAGTAGTCGCCTTTGTGGTTTTGAGTTTCTTAAGTGTTTTTGGGGATGTTCAATACGTTTAACTACAGCGTTCAGACAAACTCTCTGCAACCCCAGAATCCGGAAAGTGTATCACTATTTGGAACAAGGTCCACGGATCAGTTATAAATAGCTTTACAATGTTAACGTGTTTCTAGTTTCGTATGCATGTCATTATAACAAAAGATCCGCGGATATTCAGACAATCCGTTCTACCCTACATAACGTAGAGATATATCAGAGTTTGCCAGTGTATCTATCATTGTGGGAGAGAGCGCACTTCGAGGCACTGTGCCCATGGCAGGTCGAAGATGGAACAGGTTGGCAACCTTCAGAGGAATATGTCACCGCATGAAGAAGAAGCTGTGCTGCTGTGGCTGGCCAGGATATCAGGTAGGTGTCTCCAACTGCCGCTCATATATACTTAATCTACCATGGTCCTACTTGCTTCCTTCCTTCCTTTCTCCCTACTCCCCTCTCTCCTTAAGTCCTTTACCACATTAGCATCCTCAAATTGAGTTGATTCGCTCTTAATATTCATAGTAAAGAGTTGACCTATGATGGCATGTGAAGTTACCAATCAAATTCCATTCACATTTGGAATTCAGATTCTCAGGGAAACAAATCTATGTTATTGATGACTTCATAATTTTAAGACTCACGCATACAATCACAATGCGGGCGGTGGGGTAGCCTAGAATAAATTTCTCATAGAAGGTGAACGTTTGAATATATTCCGCATAGAAGATGAATATGATATATTTGGCGTAAATTACACAATTCTTTGTACTCGTCGTGTCATATGTTGAAGATTCTGTTTTGCCCTGTCGTCAGTTGGTGCCACCAGACGAGGACTGGTAGGACGAGGACCGCCTGACAGAAGATGAAAGAAGTTCGTGTGTGTCAGAGAGGACCCTGTTCCTGGTGTCTCAACACGTGGGCGGGTTTTTCCAGATGCTGGGTCTGAGACTGGGGCTTCCGTACGTCAGTGTGGAGAGGTGCACGCTGTCACAGTCATCGCCTCAGATGCAGATATTCGCCATGCTGAACACGTGGAGACAGCGGAAGGGAAGACGGGCAACTGTTGAAGTCCTGGTTCAAGCCCTGTCTGACAGCATGTCGGTCTGCACGGTGGACATGCCTCATGTCTACAGGGTGATCCGTGAAATGTAACAATGTGTGTCACCATATAAATCCACGTACAGCAAGCAGCTCTCTGGGACTTATGACATACTTAAATATATTTCAAGTTCACTGCAGTTTTGCGAGATGTTGTTGAGAAGGATAAGTCATCTGCCACTATTTTCATTGTAATATTTCGGTAATGTCGATGTGTCCCTCCCATGATGTCTTGGACTCCGTGTAAACGTGGGATATTTTATGGTGTTGACCGAATAAAGTGTTACAATGTTCTGTTTTGTGTCTATTCTTTAAGTGATCGAGTGAGTGAGTATGGTTTTAGGTCGCCTTTAGCAACATTTGAGCAATATCACGGTGGAGGACACCAGAAATGGGCTTCACATATTGTACCCATGTGGGGAATCGAGAACCGCATGAAGAGCCAACACTTTAACCACGAGGCTACCCCATCGCCCTTTCTCTTTAAGAATGAATGAAGCAAGTGAGTGTAACGTACTGTTGAAGACAGTGAATAAAGTTTAGGTTTAACCCGTACAAGCAGATATCCAGTCACATGGCGCACGTACACAGGTTGGTCCGTGAAATGTAACATTACTAGAG